ATACTGAAAACGGCAGAGAAACCTACTCTTGTTGTTGGAGGTGCATCGTAGTTGTTTGTCATATAAAGTGGGAATGTGAAGAACATCCATCTGCTTCATGCTTAATCGCACAACATGAAACCCCATTAGAAAATTGATCTTAGGACATTGGGAAACAAAAAATATATTCAGTCTAGCCTTTGTTAGGTCGATTGTACCACCTGAATCACCATTATGAAATCGTCCAAGTATATTAGGACCAAAAACGAAAATCTGGCCAGTTCGCTCGATCGTGCTCCAGGGATCTGTTTTGGCATTGGTAGATCAACATGCAAAAAAATGAGAGATATTACGGCATGAGTGCATGAGAGAGATGAAGGAGAGAAGTAACAATCCCAAGCAATGAAACGTGTTAGGGATTAGGAGAAGGATATATCTCACTCGCAAAAGTTTCTTACTTCTGATATTGGCGTCCGGCCGGGAGGATGGCAGGATAATCTATCCTCCGAGGAAGATGAGGAGATTGGCGAAAATATTTTGATAAGAGAGATTAGGGCATGAGTACATGAGAGAGCTGAATGAGAGAAGCAATGATACCAAGCAATGGAACACATCAGGGATTAGGAGAAAGATGTATCTGGGGGCAAAAAAATCATACCTCTGCCATGGGTGCCCAGCTGGGAGGATGGCAAAACGATCTAATCCTCTGAGGAAGATATGGAGATTGGCGCTCGGCATCTAACGATGATCATCTTCGATCGATGGGCAGGAGCGGCGAAAGAAGGAGGTCTGCTAGTTTTTTTCCAGCCTGTACATGCGTTTTCTTTTCGGAAATGTTAACGCCCACACGTGTGGGCATTTGCATCTCGCCCACACGCGTGGATCCGCGTCTGTTCGTGAGCGCACGAATCTTGGCATGTTTCTAGTGCCACGTAGGACTGGCCTGATGTGTGGGCGTTCACCCAGTCGCTCACACGGCTGTTTCACCACACAGGAGGGGCTGGTGTGTGGGCGTTCAGCAGTTCGCGCCACACGTCACTTTGCACGCTCACACAAGGGTTAGTGTGTGTTGGAGTTGTGTCGAATATTGTGTACAAGGTAGGTTACAGTTGGACTTGTAGTTGTATTGTGTTTACATAGGATGTGGAGTCGTGTCCAAGTAGGACACTAGTATCCTAGGCCTCTCTTATCTAGCGGGGGTAGACACACGATGTAACCTATGCCAACATAATAGCACAGGCGCGCAAGGGGGAGCCGGCGGCATGTGCCAGCGCCCGGATGGCCGGTGTGCGGTATTGTGACGGTGTCACGGGGAGGAGCGTCCATAGTCAAGCCCCGGGGATGTAGCCACATCGGTGAACCTCGTCAACAAATCTCGGTGTCGTGCTCGTGTGATTGCTTGATCCTCGAATGATCGACGGTATGCCTCGGATTTATTCTAACAAGTGGTATCAGAGTTAGGTCATTCGGAGGCTACGGATTGTATTAATCTAGAGGAAGGAACAGATGGATTCGTCGAATCGGTCGAACTCGGTCGCGGGCGGCGACCGAAGAGAAAACTGATGGGGCGGCGAGATGTTCTGTTCGTGTAGGCAATCGGAATCAGCCAGGTGCTTGGAAGCAGATCGGATCGATCTCGATTGATCGATAGCGTGTAGCGTCTGCGGCAGCAAGGAGCAGCGCAAGGTAGCGACCCATACTTGGCGCGACCTAGGATGTCCTAGCGGGAGCTCGGCCAGGTGGGCTACGTCCCCAGGCAGTTTTGGACATCGGGTAGCACTAAGACAACAAGTTCACGTGGGGAGCTCCGTCCATGACGTGTGCCATTGTGCGTTGCTGCTGCCCAGAGTAGAAGCCAAGAGGCAGGCACGTGGAATCATCATGCTAGTATTTGGGCTGTTGTAGACATTGTCAGAGATTTGTTTGACGAAAAAAATACGGCACAGGGCTTAGTCAGATCGTGAAGCTATCATGGAAAAAAGAAATAAAAGAAGGGATCCAGAAGCTACGTACGTGTGGTTCACACGGGAAAGCTATGAGGGAATTTTTTTTCTTTGGTTTTCTTTGTCGGTACACATATGTGTATGGATGACAGTGGTCATGGTGACGACTTGAGAAGTCTGGAATGTGTCTGCAGTCGGATAAGTTCGGCTGGGTCGGACTAGGCAGTCTGACGGATCGACGCAAGTCGGTTGATACAGAAGACGGTGGTGGGATCGGCGACGACGATGTAGGAGCGTGATGCTGATGGTGACCAACTTCTGGGGTGTGGAAACACGTGGCGCAGGCCTGAGGGCTTGTGTGACTTCGACAAGACTATGGCGCGGGATTGATTCAAGACGGTGTACCTGAGAGCTTGAAGTCGACGGGGCGCGAGGGTGGACTGATCATCTACCATGGAGTCATGTTGAAGGTGGAGCTGGATTGAGGGGCTACGGTGTAAGGATCCAGAGAATCGAAGCCTATTCAGCGGATGGGAAAAGCGAGTGGCACGTAGTTCGGACTGGAGCCCAGTTGTCTGATGGAAGCGTGAAACTCGTCATCGGTCGGTGATGACCGGTGGTACTCTGCAGTGGGGGTTGAGTGGTGTGGTCTCGCGACCCTTGAGACTCGACCGGGACAGCGGAGGCTCGGCGCAGTAATAGCGGCGAGGCGTGCGGTGCGCACGGGGCATGGAGACAGGCCAGGGCTCTGGTGGTCATACATGTGGTGAGACAACTGCGAATTTGACTCGGGATGACTATAAGCAACGGTGAAATTTCTTCATGTTTCAGACAGGCGGTCAAAAAAGGAGCGGTGATGTTGAGTTCAGGTAACTCTTATGTATGACACCCAATATGTGAGTTGTTCACTTTCACACAGGTCAGTGATCGGTGTGTGATGGCGTTGATGGATACTCTGGAAGTTGGGAGCGCAAACTAGAGTAACAAGGAACTTAATTTTGCTCGAGTGTTGACTGTGGTCAAGAAAAGAAGGGACTACAAGTTGCAAGTGAAGTCGCATGGAGTCTTTGGAGTAGCAGCGGTGCTCATGGGATAAGCTCAAGTCCAATGTACATGGAAGTTTGACGCATGGACAAATTCAAGATGGTGGAGAATATTCGCCAAGGTGGAGTTTGTTGGAGTTGTGTCGAATATTGTGTACAAGGTAGGTTACAGTTGGACTTGTAGTTGTATTGTGTTTACATAGGATGTGGAGTCGTGTCCAAGTAGGACACTAGTATCCTAGGCCTCTCTTATCTAGCGGGGGTAGACACACGATGTAACCTATGCCAACATAATAGCACAGGCGCGCAAGGGGGAGCCGGCGGCATGTGCCGGCGTCCGGATGGCCGGTGTGCGGTATTGTGACGGTGTCACGGGGAGGAGCGCCCATAGTCAAGCCCCGGGGATGTAGCCACATCGGTGAACCTCGTTAACAAATCTCGGTGTCGTGCTCGTGTGATTGCTTGATCCTCGGATGATCGACGGTATGCCTCGGATTTATTCTAACAGTGTGTGGGCATTTGCCATCTCGCCCACACGCCTGTCTTCTCTCCCCCACCCAAGCTGTTAGTTGCCATGTGTTTTGCAGCGCACATGGCAATTGCCCCTAGTGTGCTTTATAAGCAGGTGGCAACTCTCTTTTTCACCCGAGTTGCCATGTGTTTTGCAGGGTCCACGGCAACTGCCTAGTGTGCACATAAGCAGATGGCAACTCTCTTTTACCGAGTTGCCATGTGTTTTTACATGGTACATGGCAACTGCCCTAACGTGCACGTAAGCAGATGGCAACTCTTCCTTTTTACATGGCAACTGCCCTAGCATGCTTGTGAGCACATGGCAACTCTCTCAACTGCCTAGTGTTAGTATGTGGCAACTCCTAAAGTTATGAAATCATGGCAACTACATTAGATCAGATCATACATGGCAACTGCAGTTGAGCAACCATGGCAACTGTAGTTGTCCGACATGGCAACCGTAGTTCAGCGACATGGCAACTGCAGTTAAACGAACATGGACGAGGGTCTGGACCATGGCAACTACGGGCGCGCGGTGACCGTCACGCGTGGCGTGCGGAACCAGGAGGGTATGAGGCCTGACATACGGGCGTGTGGGCGTTATCAACTTCACCCACACGCACGCGTGTGAAAGGGATCGGGAGGGGAAAAAAGAGGTGTGTGGGCATTACTTGTTTTGCCCACACGTAGGTGTGTGGGCTGTTCCTCTTATACACCACACAAAATGTGTGGGCGGGCTCCCTAATGCCCACACGTGTGACACTTATCGGCGTCCTTTCTTTTACGGGTGTACATGAGTTTATTATAAGGAAGAAGAGGTATTCACGTGGGACACAACCTAAAGAGGAGTTCACGTGGGACACAACTTGTAAATGAGTTTTTTCATTGCACGGTGCCTGTATATGAGTTTGGTAAAAAAAAGGAGTTCACGTGGGACAAAACGCAAGGACTTTCCGTGAGCTCATCCGATGGTTGTAGTTAATTACTAACATGAAGATCGGATGGACAACATATTATTAGTTGATGTTGGACGTGTCACATGGCTCTTTTAAGGGACATCCGGATCATATGCATTACGTATGTTTTCCTTTTATATTGACCGTAAATTCTATAATCCAACGTTGTAATTAATTTTAATGATGTGGATTAATGAGACGACTTGAAAGTTGCCTCCAATTAGTAAATATGAGATGAGATATAAGATAAGATAAGATATAAGATACAACATGCTACGGTTTCTCTTTTATGTTTGCCCAAACCACAAATAAATGTGAATTGAAATTTTGGAGAAACGTATATTTTTCAGAAATTTCCCATGCTAATTTAGTGCATGTACGGTAAATAATTTCAGATGTTCACACAGCGGAACTTTTCACTTGACGCTGTTGTCATTCAGTTGAGCATACTCTTTTCATGCTAAGTTTTCATTATTTTCACTATGATATCCAACATTTGCCCCTTCTTTCTTGAATCTTTCCATAGTAAATCTCGTTGCGATCCAGTGAAGTGTAGCAATAAATCATTACATCCACGGCAACTGTCTACTGCATGTTGGGTTGCATGGGTACTCGCAGTCAATCTCTTTCACTCTTTCGCTACATCCACATTGCCAATCTCCTACAGCCTCAGCAATTGTCTGAACAAAATAGTGAGAATGTAAGCAACACCGCGGTGAATCACATAATACAGAATCCTCACACTTTTTAGATGCGATTTTCGCCCTACCTTATCTCCAAGCCTAGGGGAGAATGGTGAATTCCAAGAGATGTCAGAGACCGTTTGGCAGTGAGTGAAGCATGAATCAATGAACAATCCCCATCCCTCTTTATCTTCGACAACCTTCAATGCATCCACCATCGCGTCCCTGAATCCTATCGATGCAGAAGCACATTATTTATTTGTTTCGAGCAACAAAGAAGGAAATATGAATGGATTGACTAGACAAGCTAACCGTTAAGGAATTCCATTTGCGTGGAATTGCAGTTCCGGATATTATGTTTGCAACACGACCACGAATTACCAGGAGCCAACGAATCCGGTATCAGAACATATCGTACCTATGGAAAAGAATCATGGATAAATCATTGAGAAACTTAAAAGAGAAGAAGAAGAAGAGGAAGAAAAGATTTCAAAATACCTGAAATGAATCGTATGCAGAGTTGAGAATAAACATTGGGTTGTGGATGCTCTTTATAAGCTCAGCGGGGAAGAAACACTAGGGGAAACAGAGTTACCACCGTAATATGATGACAGATGTAAGTGTGGGAATTAGAACGAGTTAGACAAGGGGAGCTACCTCTTTTGGCTTCTTTGTGGCAAGGCAGTCCTTGGGCAACACTTCTCTAATATTCTGCAATAAGTTTAGCAAAAACAATAGAGGGGAAAAGAACTCAATGCCATTTCGTACAAAGTGGCATCCATTACATGAAATTTTGCAATATTCTAGTCAGTGTTGGCACAAATTAACCACATGAAAAGAAAAACAGAGTTCTAAAAAGCTTGATCTAGTAGTCATATTTTACAGAAGTACACAAAGGATGAGGTGATCAGACGACAGCTAACCTGGAGCTGAACAACACCATCAAAGACAGACCAAAAGGTCCTTTCTCCAGATATATCCTTTCTGTATCAAACAAAAAGTGGTACTTCAGTAGTTCAGTTCACGTACCATGCTAGTGGATTACATTTACTACCAAGAGTCTTACACGTCAAGAAAAAACCCAGCATCGGCAAGGCATTTAACTGAAACCTCCTGAGGAAATTTTGCACTAAAATCATCGCAGTGTAGCATCGTGGCTAGACCACCAGCAGAGCAACCTGTAAGAAGAGACTGAAATGTGTAGAAAGATAAGTAATTTTTTTTCTTTTTCAGATTTTTCTTGTTCACATCTAATGTTTCGTCTAAAAACTATACGACGTATGACCTGGGTAGCATTGGCAAGTCCCCTTTCCATGACTTCATCAATAACTGCCTCATAGATGCGCAATCCTCTGAAGTGAAGTGTACTTCCATCCTGCATCCTCACCAACATAACATCACTTCAAGCAACCAAAATAGCGATATCGAAACAGGATTCAGAATAATCACCGGCGCTTGACCTTCCGCATCCCCAGAAAATGATCCCCCGTCGCAGTAGCGCACATACACTTTGTTCCAGTTGTAGAAATCTAATTGGAGATACACTAATATAAATTAGTGCAAGGACATATCAAAGAGGTAAAAATGAGACGAAAGCCTCACTTTATCCAACCAAACAGGAAGAGAGGCGATGTGAAATTATGAGCCATATGGAATGGAAGGGAGTGGTTTGTGGAGAGAAGCGTTGATGATTACCAGGATTCAGTTGCTGATCGCTGCTGAGGATCCCAGCAAACAATATCGGTTTCATGAAGTTGGATGAACCGAGATCGGAATTGCTTCGGATGGAACAATCCTTGAGAGTGCTGCACCAGCCTCCTCCCTGGGTGTTTTTCAGTGGAAAAATATATATAGTTCAATCAACTAATTTCCCTGCCTTGAATCTACTTTGTACGTGAACAAAGCGAGTGAATATCAACATCATGTACAAGGGTATAAACAATACATGTGGTTACGCTTAGTTATGAACTAGAGGTTGGGACCGTCATTGCGGGCAGCTTGAGAGGAAGCTATGTACACCTCACCATCATGTTAAAATCTTAAAAAAAATATTCTCGCATCAGGTGGACATCACAACCATCTTAAAAAAAAGAAAAATGATAGAAAAAAACTTCTCTTGAAAAAAGTCTCCCTACCATTTAAAAAAAACTCTAAAAAAAATTCTCACCGTGACCAACCAGCATGCGCCACATGGCGTAGCTGGTTGGCCACCATTCTAGCGCCTCTTAATGGGTTTAATAATATTGTAAGATGACGTCATCCTCGACTTTTTTGTTTTGCTGGTGGCTAAGGAAAGCATATATAGCAACGTATATAGAGAGTAGGAAAATGGGTGGGTGAGACTACCTACCTGTAGATGGATGAGCCAGTTGTTTGCGCCGGTGCCGGAGCCTCTCTGCAGGTGGTAGCCCGGCGGGGTCCCGTCCAAGCACACTGAACTCAAATTAATCCGAGATGAATGGACGGTAGAATCTAATATAGTGCGGCGACTGGAAGGCGGCGTACCTGCTCCCTTCTCCTGCGCACCGGCAAGGAGGGTCAGCGGGACCGTCTCCGGCGGCGGCGCGCAGAACATCATAGAAGGGTGAAGGCCGGCGGCGGAAGGCAGCAGCAGGAGCAGGACTGCCGCCGGGAGGCCCCATGCATGGCGGCAATCCCGCGCACGCCGGCGCTGCGCCGGGTCCGCGTGGAGGAGGAGCTGCTCGGCCTGGGCTGTCCCTGGCGCCATGGCAGTCAAGGGACAAGAGAATAAGAGAAGAATGGCCGCTGCTGCTTCTTCTTATGAAATATTGTTGCCCCATTCGTCGTTTTTTTCCCCGTCCCCCTTTGTAACTTGGCGGGCTGTTAGACAAATGCGCCAAATTTTCTTACATCCAAGATTAGATCAGCCAGATTGCAGCATCTACGTCATCCCCATTTACAAAAAGTACCTACAATTGCATTTCGTTCTTTTTTTTTCTCCATTTTCCATTCTCAAGTTAGAGTGTTCACAACTGGATTTTTTTTAAAGGCAGTCCCTCCCGGTTCGCCCCCGCAGGCGACGGGAGGGAACCTTAGCCGCCTCCCAACGCCCCTCCTCCCGCTCCTCCCTTGCCTGCCGCCGCCAGAGGGCGTGACTGGGCGAAGCTCGGCCAGCAGCGGCGGCAGAGGGCTCTTTTGCCCCCTTGCGCGTGGATCCAATGCGGGCCGGGTTTGACGGGGCAAGGGCGTCGTGATGCGGAGGGTCGTGGCGGCGCGATCCGGCTTCCTAGCGGCTAAGTAGGAAGGCGGGTGACGCGGATGAGGCCTTCGTGGTGTGGCGTGCTGGATCTTGGCGGCGGCGGCGATCTGGCCCTGATCAAGCACCGCGCGGGCTGTGGACGGCGACGGCGCTCGGCTGGTGCTGCCTTGTGGGCAATAGTGGCCGACGGGGATGGTGGATCGGGGCTGCAGTGGCGGTCCTCAGTGTTCTGGCAGCTGTGTGCGTCTACTCGGCGAGGCACCACGCGGTTCCAGTCAGCTACTGGGTTGGGATGGCGCGACTGCCGATGAAAATCACGTCGACTTCAGTCTTGATGGACGATGGCGGCGTCATCGTCGTTGCAGGCAACTTCATCTCCCTCGGGCTGCTCCGGGGGGAAACCCTAGATCTAGGTCTTCCCGGATCGGACAATGATGGCATCTTCGATGTCATTCTCCCTCCTTGGGGCATCGTTTTGAAGCAAGTGCTGACTGGAAGGGCTCAGAGGCAGAGTGGGGTTTCATCTTCCGCATCGATGACGGTGGATCTCGGCGGCGTGGCTCAGTGGAGTCTCGGCTTCCGATGCGAGTTGCGGACTCGCGCAAGAGGATGACGCTATCTGGCTTGACGGTGGCGTCGACGGCAGGCCTGGCAAGGTTGATGCGCTAGTTCATGTTATGAAGATGGATAGGTGGAAGATGGCGGTGGTCGCATCTGAGAGTGCGCCGGACCGGTGGGTGTCCCAGACCCGACATTGTGGCTTGGTTGGGGCCTTTGGCTTTAGATAATACACATTGGTGCAAAGTCTGGCACCCCTTCGTTAAGTGGATAGGATTAGCGTCAGGTATTGCTGAGATGGTGGCTTCAGCCTTACTGATGTATTGCTTTATAAGGTCTTTATAAATAATTAATAAAATGGCTGTATGCATCGTCCAGATGCAGAGGTGGTCATCCTTCTTTAAAAAAACAACGGGAACCGGCGACTTTGTCGAGTACCCGCCGGTTTGCTAAGTGCATAATGTCTGACATATGGTAAAGGATAATGAAATCGAATGCGAAAAAACCCTTGGCAAAAGCCTAACAATCTCGGTAAAGACGTGCTTTGCTGAGTGTTGCCTGCACGGATTGAGATCCAGTGACTTGTTGTGGACAAGTCATCGGTGAATAGTACAGTGATTGCCCCCTTCTCCAGACCGTCCGATCAAGGACGGATGAATCTGCATGAACAGTACTCGATCTACAGTGATCCGGTCTACAGGAAGGTCGTACACAGTACCCGGTCCACAGTGTTCGTCTACTGTGTCCACTGCATTGTTTCTGCTACAATAGTTAATCTAGGCTGTCCATCCTTCATCCAATGGTTGGCTGGCCGCCAGTCACGCCGTGACGGTTAGTCATTGGATCTATGTCCTGCCTGTACAACAGCAAAGACGTGCTTTGCCGCGTGTTCAGCTTTGCCGAGTTGGCATTCGTGGCAAACATTTTCTTTTTCTTTTTCTTTTTCTTCTTCTTTCTTTTCTTTTGTATATTGTTTGTTTCAAATTTTTTCCTTTTCTGCTATGTTCTTTTCCACGTTGATTTTTTTTTTTTGCTTTCTTTCCCTCTCTCTATTTTACTTTATAGGCATTTAATGAATGTAATTCAAATTTAAACTACAAGTGCATTAAAAAAATTGGTAAAATTAGGTTCAGAAATCATGTTTCTACTTTTAATCTACGTTTACGCCTTTTCCAAGAAAGTAAAAGGAATTCCAAATATCCAGGTGTCAAGACTCGACCTCAAACATGAAGGTCATTATTTTTTTATTCCAAAAAGTGCATTGAAAGTCAGAGAAAACATGAAATTTAGTATGATGTCATTATATCACCCAATAGTCTATGGTGTTGCAAAAAAAAATGTGATGTACACCACCGCCTAGAAAGCTGCTCCCCGGCGCCATGACCGTCAAGGACAAGATGGTAAGCTGCTGCTTCTTGTAAAATAAGTATAAATATTGTTGCTCCGTTCCTCGTGTCCTCATTTCCTCATATTCCCTGTAAAATATTGCTGCTCGGCTGTTGCCGCCATGGCCGGCCGTCGCCGGCAAGAGAAATATATGGTTTGATTTCGGCTGCTATCGCTGCTTCTTGTAAAATATTGTTGCGGGTCAGGTCATGTGTCCTCTGCGCGTCGAGATCCACAACAATATTTCTTGAACGTTCGTCAGCTAACAATATTCTTGCATGATCTTGCATGATGGATACTCCTTCCGTTCCAAATTACTCGTCGCTGAAATGGATGTATCTAGAACTAAAATACATCTAGATACATTTCTAAACGGATAGCACCATTTCGTGAGACAAGTAATTCGAAACGGAGGGAGTATATATCAAAAATTCAAGATCATATATACCAGACGGATAGCACCATCCCTATTTCTAAAAGGAGTACCTAACTGACAATATCTTCTGTTTTCTTCCCTCCTTTTTATATTCTCAGCCTACAATGTCAGGGAATTCTCCTTTCTGTTTCTCGAGACGAGAGCTATCTATGAATTGAAATTTGAAGCGGCCTTTGGTAAACTAAGAAAAACAACTCCGCTCCTTCTTTTCGAAACTCCACATGCCGGTTTGAAGCTTTAACTATGAATACAACAACAAAGCCTTTGAGTCTCAAACAAGTTGGTATAGGCTAGAGTTGAAACCTATAAGATCTCGAAACCAAGTCATAGTTATGGCACATGGGCATCATTTGGCGCTTTAGCTATAAATAACTCCAGTTTTAATCCTCATTCAATGAACATTTTCATTGGGTGCACCGTCATTTGCAGACCTTGATCTTTAATAACGGGGAGATCAAAGTCATGACAAATGTCAGCAGCAAAACTAACTGAAACAGGGTGTAGCCAAGTCTACACCAGAAGTTTTAGCTCGAATATCCTCATGATTATTGTCTTCATTCATGATGACTATTATTTTCACTTTAATGGCCAGTACAATATGATGATTGCTGCCTCCCCCCTCCCCTTTTCTCGAACCTTTACTTAGTAGATCTCGACACGGTCGAATGCAGTAACATCCCGTGGAGGCGGCAAACTGTTGCATGTTGGGTTGCACTGATACTTGCAGTCAATCTCTTTGGCTCCTTGGCTCCTTCCAGAGTGCCAGTCTCCAACAGCTTCTGCAATGGTCTGCTCCAGAAAGATGGCGACCAAAATATATCAATACAACAAGAACATGGTGCACCAAAGATAACACGGGTACGCAATGTGATTTGGTATTCAGTTTTTTTTTAAACTCCATGCCTTGTTTTCAAGCTTCGGGGAGGTTGGTGAATGCCAAGAGACGCCGGAGAGCGATTGGCAGTGCGTGAAGCATGAATCGATGAACATGCCCCAGTCCTCCTTGTCTTCGACGACCTTCAAGTCATTGACCATCTTATTCCTCAATCCTATCGATGGAGAAGAACAACAATTTAGTGTTTCACGAAACCGGAAAATCATTTGTGCTGAAGGTGGGAGGAAAAGAAGAAATGGATTAACAGGCTAAGCCAACCATCGAGGACTTCAACTTGTGTAGAATTGCAGTTTCGGATATTTTCCTTGCAACTCAACCATGATTTGTCAGGAGCAGATGAATCAGGTACAAGAAAATTTCGTATCTGGCAAAGAATCATCGACAAGACAGTGAGAATTCTAACACAGTCATGTGGATATAAAAACAAGAAGTAAATATTGAAAATTACCTGCCATGAATCATAACTAGGGTTGAGAATAAACATGGGGGTGCGGATGCTCTTAATAAGCTCTGCCGGGAAGAAGCACTAGGAGAAACATTATTTCAGCTAACGAACTTACTGACATAATTTGATGACAGGCCAATGTGTGGGAAGCAAATCAAATTATACAGTGGAAACTACCTCGGTTGGCTCCTTGTTGGCAAGGCAGTCCTTGGGCAACACTTTTCTAACATTCTGAAATGAATTTAGCAAAAAATGAACCAAAAGATCTCAATAGCATTTCGTACCAAATAGCATCAATCCCTAGAATAAAAAATTGTTGCACAAGACTATCCACATGAGAAAACAGAGTTTTACAAAAGCTTGTTCTTGTAGAGAAGTACAACAAGAATTAGAAGACGGCCAGAAAGTTTCAAGAATGTTCGGCAGCTAACCTGGAGGTGAATGACTATCGTACAGAGACCAAAGGGACCTTTTTCCGGATATATCCTTTCTGCCAGAAAAAGTTGGTACTTTAGTTCAGGTGCAACGCTAGTGCATTACTCTTTTTTTTCAAGAGCCTTACTCATCAAGGAAAAACCCAGCATCCGCAAAGCATTTAACTGAAACCTCCTGCGGAAATCTTGCACGAAAATCATCGCAATGCAGCATCATGGATAGAGCACCAGCAGAACAGCCTGTAAAGAGGGCCTGAAATGTGTAGAAACATGAGTTTTTTTTCCCATTTCCGCCGCTAAGCTTATATTAACCCAAGAAATTAAGTATCTTTTTTCCATGAGTTCGTCGATAACTGCTTCAAAGATACGCAATCCTCTAAAGTATAGCGTGGTTCCATCCTACATAAGTACAAACAGAACATTACTTCGAGCAACCAAAACAGCGATACACATCAGACAGAGGTTCAGAAAAAAAATCACCTGTGCTTGAGCTTCCGTGTCCCTAGAAAACGACGCCCCATCGCAGTACCGCACGTAGACTTTGTTCCAGTTGTAGAAATCTGTCAACACGCAAGGACATGGAAAGAGATGGAACAAATAAGGAGGCCAACCGAGGATTCTGTAGTTACCAGGATTCTGTAGCAGATCGCCGCCGAGGATCCCATTGCCCATGAACCGTATCGGTTTCATGAAGTTGGATGAACCTTTGGTGGACAGTCTGCTGTCCGAACATTCCTTGACTGTGCTGCACCAGCCTCCTCCCTTGAATGGTCATTTTTATTTGGGAAAACATGCATGAATGTCAATTAATCAACTATTTGCCCTGCCTTGAGTCCACTTGCTAAATAAAGACCGCCTTTTTGATAGAAAAGAAAAAGGTGATACAGGGAGGCATGTGCTTGATGGCAACAGAAGTTAGGAGCCGGGTCTCTCTTTTGTCAAAGCAGATTTTGGTTATGAAATTTTGTTGTAATATACTATATTTTTGGTGGCGGCTAATTAGATTTGCCTAACTCATGAAAATGGAAAAAACAGCGCAATATTATTATAGCATAATGGATGGATGGTACGGTAGGTACCTCTAGATGGACGAGCCAGCGGTCGGCGCCGTCACCGGAGCCCCTCTGCAGGTGGTAACCGGGCGGTGTTCCGTCCACGCACACTGAAACCAGACCAAATAAACTCCAGATGAATGGCTGGAAGGAAGAAAGCTATATATACAGTATAGTGTACCTGCACCCTTCTCCTTCGCGCCGGAGAGAAGGGTGAGCGCGACGCGCTCCTGCGGCAGTGGCGCGCGGAACAGCCTAGGACGGAGAGGGCCAGCGGCGGCGAGCAGCATCACCAGCAGCAGGGCAGCGACGGCGAGCCCCCATACCTGTCGACGGCGGCGCTGCTCCTGGGGGAGGAGCTGCTCGGTGGCGGCGGCCATGGCCATGAGGGAGGGATCAATGCTCTGCTCTGGCGGATTTGAGCTTCGTTCCTCCTCTCATGGTGTACACCAGCCTTGCCGCTTTAAGTAAGCAGCTAGCAAGCTAGCTCAACAGTCTGCCACTGATGACTGATGTGACCTGATACCAGTAATGAGCAATGCATGACATTGGACCCAAGATAAGATTAGCACAATGGATGACAACTCCCTCGAAAGGGGATTCAATTATTCTCAGATCTCACCAGTCCGTGGCTACAAACGGAACAGCAGCACACAACGTGTAGCACACTACACTACTTACTGATAAAGGATGCCAGCCAAAAGCTTATATAGAAAGGGCATCTCATCTCATCTCATCTCATCTCATCTCACACAGCCTGGATTTCTCTTATTTATGTACACCAACCGTATCTATCTACACCTCCTCCGGGGTCCGGGGGTCCCAGGCCACCGTCGGCACTCATGACGCCTCGGCGGCGGGGAAACACGTCCGCGCCGCGGCGATCTCGCGTGGGAAGCCGCCTCCGCACTTGGGCTCCTGACTGTCGAAGGCGCTGTAGTCCAGCACCTCGGCCTCCCCCACTTCCCCTAAGCCTAGTTCTTCAGGCGAAGACGGCCTGAGGAGAAAATGTCTGTCAGCGTACGACGATTTCACACGCGTGATTCCTGAAGCGTGGAACCGAAGGTGGTAATACGAAATGCTTGTGGTCTTACCCGGGCACGTCGAGAGCAGGCGGGTTGTGGGCGGCGTCGTGGAGGCCGCCACTCTTCTTGCTGTTCCCACGCGACTTCCTCTTCTTCTGCTTCTGTTTCTGCTTGCCCTTGTCCTTCTTCCTGGACCTGGAGCGCTGTTGGTGGCCCTTCACCGTGTGGTCGACAGAGGTGACCGGGGGGTCGTACACATCTGGGGCCCAATTAACGTGGCGGACTCCAGTTGGCGATGTTTCACCACTTCTCTCACGGCCTCCTTTCATAGCGGAGACGAGAAGCCTTGACGTCGACTAGACAGAAAATAGGAAGGGGATGTGTATAAATGATCCGAAGCAAGGCAAAGATAAAGTGCATTTTCCTTGATTACAGTATCATCATATTGTGAAAGCCTAGCTTAAATGTACAACTACAGCAAATGGGAACAGAACTGAACTCAGCGCAGTTTCATGATCAACTTAACATAACAAGTTTAAGCTTAGCTCATTCAAATTCACACCACAGATTGATGAGCCTACAGCCTACACAGCCGGACACAATAACTCAATAGGCACAACAAATCATATAATTGGCCTGGGAACTGAAAAGTAAATGGCATGGTCACATCAAACAAGAGAACTTTGGAAATCCAAATGCAGACAGGTGAAACATGTTTCACAACAAGAACACGGCTGAGAGGCTAGTAATACACCACAACATATTATTGCTGCCTTTTGAAGTTGCTAAACATTTTTCACCTAGGAAAACCAATGTCAGGATATTATAGCAAGAATACCCCTCTTCCTGGTGCCATTCATAATTTCCATTTAGGATGTGGCTACACCAGACCTGACGCACCCCTTTTCCATTCATAGAGATACTTCCTCTAACAGAGTATGCTAAAAGCATCATGGGCGTAGCTGAAGCAAACAAAGCATGGTTTAAAATGTTGAACTCACCGGAAAGGACGACGAACGCTCATAAGTTGAAGATTCCTTTGGTTCAATGTGATTGGAGATTGCATGGGAGCTCCCATCACCTCCTTTGCCTCTCTTTATTCCTGAGCTGGGAGAACCTGAAGTATCCACTTCAGTCTCCAAAGAAGCAACATCCCTGCCTTGTTTATGAGTTCCTTTCTGGCTATGATGGAGTTCCACACATGAACGTGGAGCCTGCCCCGCTGGAGGAAGTGCCTCCTCTAGCAGAGCTATGTCATCCTTGCAGACAGAAGACATACCGTGACCCTCCATGGGTAATTTTTCAGAATCAGAAGCCAAATCACCCATAAAGTCACTTGTCACTGCAAGAAAGTAGTTTGATATTAGTGGTATGCATGGAAACTACAGGGTCATCAATCGATAAAATCAATGGTTATCTATCATCATAGTGTGACTGTGGACGGAGATATTATTTTCCTGTGTATGAAATACATTCGAGGTTTCCCGGAAAAATAAAAATACATTCGAGGTGTCATAAGAAGCAGAGGGGCCGGTCAAGTTTTCAACTAACTTGTCATTTGCCAAGCAAGGTTGACCTCATAACCAAAAGAAGTTAAGATGAATTCTCATATTTGTTGAACAAATTAAGTACATCACATCAAGGACAAACAGAAAGACATTAGCAACCATGCTCCACTGTCTCAAATCAAATACCAAAAACAAGAATGCAAACTAAATAACATCAATCTGTAAAGTTTATGGTTATCACCAAAGTGTGACTGTGGACGGACATACATTTTTCTTGTGGTTACAACATTTGAGGGGTCAGAAGAAGCGATGAGACGTGCCAGCGACAGGCCAGATTACCGGCCAACTTGTAGTTTGCCAAGCAAGGTTTACTTCATAGTGAAACGAGTTTTGCATGATGAATCACATCAGTTGAACAGATCAAGTACATAGCAACCATGTTCCACTAATTCAAACACCAAAGACAACAAATGCCATATCAGCGGATAAAAAAAAAATCTGTGAAATGCCAGTAGCAACCCACTCTATTCTTGCTAAACTCTGTCCAGTGATGATCTATCCTGCTGCGCACAAGAGTTTACTTACTAGCCCTTTATTAACTCCCCAATCCCCCAATCGTGGCCGGCTCATTCTGTGCGATCTTACTAGAAACAAACAGGGCAGGATCGCTCACCCTGTGGCGGCGCAGATCGGTACGGCGTGATCCCTGGTTGTAAAGTACCTGAGCTGCTGAGAAGCAATCGGCGATCAGCGGAGGCCACGGAGTAAGCAGATCCGGTCCGCGGTTGAGCGAGATCGGTCCGAGTTGTCGAGAAATGCCGGGGGAGGGGCGAGTGAGGGAGAGGGGTTAGATGGGTGAGGCAGCGCGTAGGTGAGGGGAGGGAGTTAGGAGAGGTGGGAGTGCCAAGGGCGGGGGGGAGGGGAAGGGGGCTTGAGGCGGGCGTCGCCGAACGAGGAGGAGGAGGAGGGTTCGGCGCCCGGCACCGGCTGCATCGTGCCCGAGCCGGCGCGCCGCCGGAGGGACGGCAGCGACGGCGTGGGGGAGGTGGAGTCGGCCGGCGTCGGCGAGATCTGGATGGATGGAAGGTTCTGTTGGCTTGTGTTTGGAGGATGGAATGGGAATGCGCCTTGTGGGAGGAGGACGACGACGACTGGACCTAGGCCAGCTTGTTTCTTCTGTCGGAAATATCTGCAGCAATGGGCCTCGGCTGGGTTCCGAAAGGCCCAGTCAAGATTGATGTTTGGGAGCAAATCATTAGCTAAGGATTACCCCTCATCTTGTCAGCTGTTGACAAGTGGTGCACTGCATGTGTGTCGAGATCTTAAGGACTAGACCCCATGTTAATAGGTTTCAGCAAATATTTTTTCATGAAAAAAGCATAAACCGACGGAAACCAAAAGCAAATTCAGTTCTATTTATGAAAAAAAAAGGCTACCGAGGAAAAAATATGGTTGCGG